GTAAGCCTTTCAGATGCTGCTAGTCCAAGAGAGAGACAGCTCACAAAAGGCACAGATCAGTTCAGACACAGCTTTATATGTTGTTTCTACATCTCTCCCCTCGAGCACTCTGATTGGAAGGGAATTCAGAAAAAGATCACAGTCACTGGCCAGCTACAGATGTCAATATAAGAGCAGTCTTTCCCCTCCATCTCATCCTTTTCCATATATGGAAGATCACCCCGTCCCCCTCCCTCTTCTCAGTTGCTGTTTGCTGCAAACCTTCCTAATTGATTCGAAGGCTTCTGATTCCATTCACACCTTTTAATGGGTCTCCTGATTTGATTCGGAGATTCAGCTACCAAACTGGACCAAATCTCCTCTGAATCGAATCAGCTACTGAAGCTTTGCACAGTCCAACTGGCTGGTGCCTGGCTATGCCCCGTTTGGTCCAGCAGGGAAGGGTGAGAGCCTTGGAGGGCATCTCTCTTCCCTCCTCTTTGGCAGTGGCTGGCAGGCACACTCTAGTGCCCCCCAGCTTCTGGCTTGAGCCACTGCAGACATGTGGCTGCACTTCTTGATTTAACAGAGAATGTCTGTCAAGTTATTAATCAGTTTAAGCTGTGCAGCTTAGACTAACCTGCAAAGAGTGAATCAGTTCAGGCTTGGGCTTTTTGAATGTCTGTCTCTAGCCCAAAAGACATTGTCTACATCCACATATTGCTTTGAAATATGGTTTTCCTTCTTAGAATTAATAGACATTATGACCTGGATTTTCATCCATTTTTAGTGAGTGGTAGAATTTAATTTGGTTTCTCTTTTTCTCCCTGTAGGACCCTAAAAGAAGGAAGTAAGGCCATATTGTAACTGTTCACATACCAAATGCATCCTTCCCCCAAAAAGTCAGCCCTCTAAAACTGGGGTGCTTGTCTTAATTGGAGGAAGCTGATTTTTCTTTGCTGGAATAGAAGCAGGGTGAAATAGAGCAAGCAGACACTTTTACATGTGCTCCAGGGGTGGCATTTTTACATGTGTGAGTGAAGGGGGTGGGGAGCTGATGCTTTAATTAGAGCAGCTCTGAAAGCTTTTCTAATAAAGTGCTGCCATGTTTTGTGGATCAGCATCCCCCACACTTCAGAATGGTGGCGGAGGCGCTTGAATTAAAGCCTGTTTGATGAGCTTTCGTTCAAGCGCCCCCGCCACCATTTTGGAGTGCAGGGGCACTGGTACTTGAGGAGTAGGAGGCTGCTGGAATGTGGTAAATTTCCATGCTCCAGCAGACTCAATTAATTGAGACTGCTCTCATGTGCTGGACTTCCAGCATGTTGGATCAGCCTCTGCACTCATTTATAGGCACCCTAGGATGCATGACTACCAAGCAGGCTGCCACTTCTCCCTGTGGCTGCAAACAGCAGGGGTGATGTCCTGTGTTAACCTTTTCATAGGCACTGGGGAGGCACTAACTTTTGGCTGAAGAGCCACTGAGCAGCTGACTGAGAGTGAATGAGCTGCTGCATGCAGTCTGTAGTATCTTGATTAGGTTTAAGACATGGAAGCAATACTTCATTGTTTACAGGAAAGTATATATAAAGAACTGCATATAGTAAAGAAATAATCTTGCTGCTGCCCTTGCAAGGGTCTAGGGCTTAGCCCTCTTGCTGTGCAGCCACACTAGGAAGTTTCCAATGCCTTAGTTTGTGTCCCAGGATGCCACATGGACACTGCTTCACTCAATGTCACACAGTTGACCATGACTCTGGAAAAATCTTTTTCTTCTACATTCTACCTTCCAAATATAAAATGTACGTTTTATTTGAGGGTGTATGGTATGCAAGCATATATGGTCTCTTTGCCTCTCTCCCATTCTAGCCCCTGTACTGAGATCAGTCATGTATGGACAGTATCCTGCTGCCCAAAAATGGGTGCAGCAGTGAGTATATACCATAAGGAATTCTTCCTGGTGCTTTTCTAAGCCAACATGAAACTGTATTAACCTGAATTCATGTTGTTTCAAAAAGCCCAGCTGAGCTAACTTTCAGAGGTATCCTCTGAAGTTCTTGCAAAATAATTGAGCTTACCAGAACCTGTGAAAAACATCCTCCAAGTATGCTTGTGTTTTTCTTATGCTGTGATTCATCAGTCAGATGAAAATTCTGTTAACACGAGAAATAGCCACCCATACAAGGAGGAGGAAACAAAAAAGAAAACAGTTAACACATTGACAAAAGTTCAGAAGATACTGAAGAATCACTTACAAGAATAGGTGAGTGCACTATAGACCTCATTCTTGAAGATTTAAGACCTGCCATTAAATTAATTGGAGTGTACAAGGATCAGGCCCTAATATTTAGCACCGACAAGAACGTTATAAATAATTAGCAATTATTTAAAACAGTCTAGAGCAGTAGTGCTCAACCTTTCTGGTCCCACAAGCTGGATGAGTCGTACAGGACCAGTCCAGGGGTTGGATCCTGTGCAGGATCTGGCGCAATGGCATGATTCTGAATGCTGTATCTGGCCCAGCACAACCCTGTGTGCTGACACAACCCTGTGTGCCAGGTTCTGCCTCCAGGTATGTTGGAGGGATCTGGTGCATAGGGCAAGGTCATCCAGACTGCAGAGCTCCCCATTGGTCTGGAGATTTGGTGGCAGGGCAATGGTGCCAGCATGGTTTGGATCATTTAATTGTCATGACCTGGATCAATTAATGCTGCTACCATTCCTCCACAGCTGAATTTCTGGACCCTTGGGTCTATAGGCCCACAACATGTAGTTTGAAGTTGGACTAAATATAGACATTGGATTTATGACACATTGTAACCTACCTGGCATTTGACTCCCCAAGTACTTCTCCACTATTCATCCCCCTTCTCTCCACTCCCTCACTCATCCTCTCTCTCACCCATTGACTCCTCAATCTACATCTTCACTGACTGCCTGTCTTGTATGCACACCAGCCCAGCCTCTGGCTTCTTTACTTTTCATTCCATCCAGGAAGAGCACACACCAACTGCTGAAACTTCCTCAGCCTGATGAAGGGTTTTTGAACCCAGAGCTTGCTTAAAAATTGCTTTCCAACTATTTAAGTTGGTCTAATAAAAGATATCAGATTCACCCAGAGAACCTTGTTTGGAGTTGGAGCACTGCTGTCTAAAAAAGCCTGTTACAATGGCCAGTGCTTAAATGTGTAATACTAATTGTCCAGTCTCAATCAACTGAGCTATGAAAAGCTTGCTTATTTATAAGCAATGTATACTTTCCTTAAAGCACCATGCCATCTACTTTGTGTCTTGATAATTAATAATGCCTGTATAGAAATTGCATTGGATTCCTATAGCTAGTGCTGTTCGTATACACTCTAGTTAGCCATTTTATATTTTGTTTTATTTTAATATTTGTTTTTATTTATTTCCCTTTGAAAGGATGCATTTCTTGTAAGAGTGATCATTTGCTTGCGTTTGTTTCTTTCACAAATTTGGACAAACTAGAGATTTGAATCTTATCTTTTAAATCTCTCTGATCAAGAGAAACTCTGCTAAAATGCAATTGCACCAATTTTAAAAAAGTGATTATGAATGGAGGGGTGGGGAGGTTCCCTATGCATCACAGAAGGATAAATCATCTTGAAGGCTGGGGGGGCACTCAGATCCTCCCACCCTAAGTAATTGAGTCTGGCTCTGAAGCAGCTCTGGTCTGGTGTGTGTCTGCTGTATGCAGCAACAAGCCCATAGACAGCACCCAGTACAGTGCACCCTATTTAAATGCATAGTTTTGGGGCTGAAAAGAGGCCAGGCGCTTGGCAGAGCTGAATGTGAACAAAGCTCCTTCACTACAGAGGACTCTGCGCTGTGGCACTAACAGCTCTGAAGCAGACCAGCTCGCTAATTTTCAAGGTTGTCTTGGCAGCTCAGTTAGTTATAAAGTAGACAGTGGGGCTGAAGGTGACGCACATATTTGTGGTTTATAGGCATGGCCACCATACAGATACCCCATGTAAGCCAATGCACAACAAATTGGGACTGGTAGCCTCTTGTGTGAGTAAGTGAATTAAGCATGAATTTGATATGAATATAAGGGAAAGAAGCTGTCTATAAACAGCATTGGAGTTTAGCAGAAAGTCATTTAACAGTGTCACAAAACTTCTATACAACAGTATAATAAGTTGCAGAAAAGAGCTTGCATTAATATTTGTGTTTCTCTGAGTATGACAGTCCCAGTATTCCCGGGGGAAACGGTGTTCAAAAAAAGGAATTGCCTTTTTTTCTTACTTCTAGGAAGGGGTGAAGTGAGCAGGAGCGTGGGGCTGTAGAAAAGGCTGGGCTGGGAGCTAGATCTGGCCTGGCCGGGATTCCCTTTTGAAGGAGCTCTGCCTGCCTAAGCGCAGCCCTTTCCATTTGCACTTGAAATCCCTCCTCAGCCCTGTTAAGACCCAGCTCTGCTCCGAGTAAAGCAGAGAAATAAATACGTGTTCTTGGATGACTGTCAGCCGTTTAAAATCAGTGTTTCTAGGAGCATGCGTGGGCCCCAGGGAGGGGAGCAGCCTCAGCCCATGCTCCGCTCCCGGTGGTCCGGCGGGTGCCCACGCTGGCTCCTGTGGCAGTGAGACCCCCGTCCCGTCCCAGCCCTGCCTCAGTGTGCCCGCGGCCCTGGGCAGCCGGGCAGGCAGGAGACGAGCTGCTTCACCCCGCCAGGGGCAGAAACGCGGGGCACTTGACCCGGAGACGCTCCTCACGCCTTGACAAGGACCCGGGCCCGGGGTCCGAGAGGTCCCGCGCTCGGGGCCCGGGAGACGCCCCGGAGGAGGCGCGGTTGGTCTGGACGGGGCGTTCCTGCCGCCCGGCCCCGGGCTCGCGGCCCGGCTGCACCTGCCTCTTCCCGCCCCGCCAAATCAGCTGAGCCCAGCAGAGTCGGTGTGGGTTTGTTGGGTGTTTTTGGTTGGTGTTTTTCTTGCCCTGTCGATTCCTGTTATTCCCACTCCCATGTGACAGGATGCGTCCTTATCGCTCCGAGCCCAGCGCTTTGCTCGGCCCCGCAGCCCTTCCCAGCCCGCCGGCTGCCGGGCCAGCGCGAGCCGCGATGCCCGCCGCCTCCTTGCTCCTGCCCCTGCTCCTGCTCTGGCTCGGGCTGGTGCCCGCGGCTCTTCCGCTGCTGGGTGAGTGCCGCTGTCCTGCCCTGCCTCTCGGGCTCGGGCTGGAGGAGTTACCCGCCCCCTCCAGCTCCTCCCGGCTCCCTCGTGGCCCGAGAGGTTTGGGCGTTTCCTCCGGCGGTCGCCAGCGCCAGGCTCCGGATTTCTGCCCTCTCCCGAGCCGTGCCGCCGTGGGCCAAGCCCGGCAGCCGAAGGGCTTGAAGCCATCAAGCTTACCTGCCTGCTGGAGGCTCCCTGTCAAAGCCCCTGGTCCCCCTGGCAGCCTCCTTTCTGGCCAGGCGGGTGCCCTCTTGTACCAAAGTAGGGTTTCCCAAGACTTTGGTACCTGGGGCGCGCTTTGTTCAGGGTTGAAATGGGGTCTTGCACCCAGAAAGGTGTGCGTATACATGTATGTAAGAGTTGTGCAGCGGTGCCCAGCCTTCTGGCCGCGCGGGCCACATGAAGGCGGCTGGGTGGGTTCACATGGCTGGTGTCAGATCCAGCCATGCGGAGCTTGGGAACTTTTGTGGCAGGGGAGTGGTGGCAAGTTAATTGCTGCTTCTCTCCCATCATCAAGTTTCCAGATGTATGGGGAGCCCTGGGTAACATGGATCCACAGGGCTGGATCTGATGTTGGTAAAGAATCATTTTTTGTGGCATTCTTCTGCGGCTCTTGAAACCCACTAGTGTGCCACAATGCAGCCTTTGGGAATCACTGTACTTAAACTCACTTCCCTTTCACACTTGCATAACCACCGGGAAGGCTGCGGAATTACTCCTGCTCTACAGTCGCCTGAAAGAGTCAGCATTAGGTTCTTGGTGCCTCCAGAGCCTCTATACAAGCCAGTTGAGTAATGCAGCCTGGCCTCTGAATTGCAGGGCAGAGGAGATGTGTGCTTTGATTAAGTGGAGAGGTATTTGGTGCCTGGATATTTTCCAGCAGATTAATTTTGTTAGGGGTGTTCTATGTATGTGTGTGTTTTCTTTAATCTGCTTTTGTCAGTAAATATCTATTAGGTTTATTAGCAGTATGATTCAGAAAGACAAAAATAAGGTGACAGCATAGATTAGAGCTTCTTGCTTTCACAAGAAGTTGGGGGTGTCTTTTCTATTTTCTGTAACCCCTGGGGTTTACACCCAGCCGTTTTGGAAATGATCAGCATTTTGTGCAACTTAATAGTTTATACTGAAAGTTCAGGCAGGCTGCAGCCTCTCTTATCCCATTTTTCTCCCCCCACCCTGTCCTCTCCACCTCCCCTCCCCAGTTTTTGCAGATGCATTGGCCTTTTTGGCCCATGCTGTTATGAGCACCACTGTATTTAAATAGGGATGATGACTTGTGGCATCTCTCTCTGCATGGTGACATTTTGTCATTTTAATTAATTAACAAGACCAAAGCTTACATTCAAGAAGTACAGTCTCATTCAGTTCTACTGTCACTCAGCCCTGGTTTGCATTTTTAAGGTTAGTTGCTCAACACTCCTCACAAGTTTTACACTTGTTTTGCTCCATTCCTTTCCAGTGAGTTACTCCTGATTGACACTGGTGCAAGTCAGGTTGGTTGCCATTTGTACTTGCTGTAAGTTCTGAAACCAATGCTTACTTAACCCTGCTTGCATATAATGTATACCTATACAGGGATTCAAAGAAGTGATCAAGATATGCAACAGCTGAGCTGGGCTCACCCCAGCCCACCCCTTCCCCAGCCACTGGCCTCTGAGGGGCGAGATCCAAGGGGGGAATGCACCCACTCTTTGCCCACACTGCCCAGCTGGGGTTTGCTCTGTCTGGGGGAAAAACATCCATGGTATGGGCTTTTCACCACCCCCCCACTGCCCCCAGCTCAAGCCAGGCTGGGATCACCCCAGCCCCATCCCTTCCCCAACCCCTCTGCCTCTGAGAGGTGTGGGCAGGAGGTAGACAGCTCCCTCAACAGATGTCAGCATGGAGGGGAAAGAACCCACCAGGGGGGATTTTCACCCCACTGCAGCTTGGGCTTTTCACTCCATTGCAGCTTTTCACCCCACTTGGCTGGGATCCCCTAGCCCCACCCCTTCCCTAGCTATCACCTCTGGGGTGGGAACACAACCCCCAGCCCTGCACTGGCAGCCCCAGCCAGGGTCTGCCTGGTGCAGGGGAAAACACCACCTGGGGGCTCTTCATCTCCCCACATTTGGCAGGTGGGCTGAGGTCATCTCAGCTCTGCTCCTTCCCCAGCTAGAACGGCTGAGTGCAAGCCCACCTCAGTAGCACTCACCTTCATGCATTGCTATGCAGGGCTTCGAGCCTAGTTTATACCTTGTTGGGTACCTGTTTTCACAGACTGTTTCTTCCCTTGAACACAGTAAGTTTCACAAAACACTACAAATGTAATCTGAACAGTTATAAACTTCAGTCAGTTTTTCAGCATTTGTGACAATGTCTTTATTGATTTGAAATAAAGATTGTGGAAAAGGAGAGTGGGGCATTAAATTGCAAGCATATATCAGTTTACAGTAACACTGAGTTATTTCTTAGTAGAAAGGCATTAAAAAAGAGTTATCACTAGCAGTGATAATTGTACATTTCCTTGTATTGTCTGCAACAGTTTTTGTCTCCAGTGCTCATCAGTTACACTGCTTCCTAATGATTTGGAAACCAGAGGACAAGAAAAGGAAACTAAAGCATGGATAAGAGAAATGCACGTCAGCTCTTCTATTGAAACAAAAGGTTATACATTTCCAGGTTATCCTTCCATAGGAGAGTAGAATCACTTCCACACGAGTTTCAGCAAAAAAAGAAGATACATATTTTGAAAGTTATGTTGGCTCCTCCTCCCCCCAGCAAAACAAATGGCACTTGTATATACAATTTTTGGTAATTATACAGTAAATTAACATCTATAATTAGCCAGCATCCCTACAGCTATATGAATGAGTACTTCTTTTCCTACCACGTAGTTTGATAAGAAAGGCATTTTAAGTATGGTACTACCTTTTGTATGACACTACCCAGTATTAAACTGAACAGTTAATCAGGACATCACTTTAACATGCATTTTTAACAGGTAAAAGCAAAGGTGTCTAACTCTTGGACTTTGGGCCAGAGCTGTCCACTTTTATATAGTGCCCTACCCTCTGTAATAGATCCAAGTATAACATATAAGGAAGGGTGGGGGACAGGAGGGCTGCAGTGATCTAAGGAAGTCTCTAGCTGATATGATTCTGAAAGAAACTCTGAAAATATGAACTGAATATAACCTGCTCAGCACTTTGTATCCAAGTGTGAGAAAAATAGCTCGTGTACGTGTCAACCAGTTCAAAAATATCCCAGAGACTCTAATGCCAGAAATGATATTTTATATGCCTTCTATCTCTATTGTTCCTAATTAAAGGATTCAAGGAGAGAAAGACAGAGCACAGATTTTCACACTTTAATGTGAAAAGTGTCTTGATTGAGCACCAAGAGTGACTGATATTTGGGAGATAAAGCTACTTTTCCTTCCCTCATTTAAAAATGAGTGAAGTCCAAGGGGTTAGGAAAATGCAACTAAGTTCTACCAACAAAAAATCAACCTTAAGGAGACACTGGGTATGTCTACATGCTATGTCACTGTAGTGATGTCTTGAGTCCTGTTATGCTCCAAAAATTTATATGCAGATATGGGTCCATGAAGGCAGTTTTCCTTAAGCCCTCCTTGGGATAACTGTTCTTCTGCCATGGTTTAGTACCCGCTGAGGTGCTCGGGCTTAAAGCCCATATTATGGAACTGAGAGGCTCCTTCCTAGATTGCTCCTGTGGCCATATGGCTGAGGGCAGGCAAAACTTGGGAGCATCCAAACCTCTGGGCTTGGGCCTGCACATAGGGTACCTGTCAAAGACTTTGGAAATATCTGAAGCCCCTGGGGTGGGGGTGCAGGATATTTGCTGGTTGTAGGGCCACTCATGGTTCTGGATTGTCTCATGGATTTGGACTTGATTTGGCTAATTTGGCTTGGAACATGAAAAATTTCTTGAAACCTCCCTCCCCCCCCCAACAAAACAAAACAAAACAAAACAAAACAAAACAAAACAAAAAAACCCCCAATGCTTGTCCCGTTCTACCTCATGGAGGGTAGGGCCACACTAATCATATGCATCAGGCTGAGAGAGGGGGCAACAGAGGAATTCTGGGTAAGCTGTTTAGGGCCTTGTTTCATGATATTTGCTAGTCATTTAAGACTGGTGAAGAAACAAGAATTATTGCAAATGGGAAGAAAGGTGCAGTTGTATTGTGGGAGTGAAGATGAAGTAAAAATGTATGCATTGCAGTGGCTCACCATGACTTGAAAAAGAGTTGGCAGTGCAGGGGATTGCTCTTAATGGGCACTACCATATATCTTATTCAGATGGGCCGTACTAACCTGTCATTGTGGTAGATTCCCATCAGCATCTTGGCCTTTTGATTAAGATCAAGTATTTTTGGAACTAAGGAGAAAGAGTCAAGACTGGCTCTAGTCTTCCTGGTATTGGTCTGTTATTGTGGTATCTCCAGGTCTGGTGCTGGTTCCCTGTAGAAGGAATGCCTGCCCATTTTTTTAAGTGCAACAAAAAAGGGTTCCTATCAGCATCGTTGGCACCAGGGGACAAGTGTTAGAGTGTGCTTTGGCCTCTCTAAGTGCTGGTCTGCTACTGCAGTACTTCCATGCCTAGTTTTTGTTCCTTCCTGGAGAAGTAACTGCCGGGTTTTTTTAAAGAGACACACACACACGGTTCCCATCAGCACGCTTGCCCAGTATGGGCCATGTTTTTTATAGTCATGCTCAGTGTTGACTGCATTTAATCAACTTCATAGTTGCTTTCCACTGCTGAGTACATGATGCTTTTGGCAGCAGTTTAACAAAAGACAGTTTATTTAGTGAGATTTCCTTGTATGTCATTATAAGATGAGATCTTTTCCCTTTGCCAATTGGAGGAAAATATCATCTTTTATTTGAGTAAATGAGGTATATATACTATGTGGGAGACTATCTCCCACATACCAGCAAACAGGGCAAGCAGTTTGTAGGCGGTTTGCTAGTCAGTTAGGGAACCGGTTTGCTGCCTTCCCTTTAAGGAGAAAGCCTTTCAGCTTTGTGTGAAGAAGCAGGGAAAAAGGAACCCTTTGGGGCCAAGGAACAGTAAACAGGCCAGCTTCCAGGCAAGCTTACTAAGGAAGGTGTGCTTGGAAGAAGGGCAGTAAGAGAGAAGAGGCAGGGAAATGGCTGGAGGACATCACAATGCCAGAGCCACTGCCACTGCCTCTGCTTGCAACTGTGAGGTTTCTGTCTGGTCAGGACTGCTCACCATCAAGGCTTTCACCCAGGTCCAAGTTTGGCACTGTGGGGACTGTGGCTTGCAGGTTCCTTCCAGTGACAGTCAGGTGGGGGAGTGCCTGAGGTGTGAGCGGTGACTCCTGCTAATGTCCCTCAGGGAACAGGCAGGAGAGCTACAGGAGAAGGTGGTGAGGCTCTGAAGCATCCTCTGCCAGGAGGAGTTAATTGATTCGGTGCTGGTGGAGTGTTCTGGCACTGTGGAGGAAGAACTGCCAGAGGCAGCGCTAAAGAAGGGTGAGGACATAGACTCCCAAAAAGGTGGAAGCTGGAAGCTTGTGACCTCTGTCAGCAAGCAGAAATCTTCATCTCCACCTGCAGCAGTTAATCTGGCGAACTGATATGGAGTCCTAGCAATGGAGGGTAAGGAGCACATTCCACTGGTGATCAGGCTAGGCCTTGCCAAGGTAGGAAGGATCAAGACCACCACCACCAGGAAGAAGCAAAGGGTGGTGATGATTGGAGACTCCTGTCTTTGGGGGACAGAGGGATCCACCTGCTGACCTGACCAGTTGTCTCAGAAAATCTGCTGCTTGCCTGGAGCCAAGATCCAAGATGTCACAGAGGTATTACTGAGACTCATCAGGCCCTCTGACTACTACCCCATGCTGCTCATCCATGTGGAGTCCCTGAGCAGATCAAAAGTGACTACAGGGTGCAAGGGTGAAGGGAACTGGGACTCAGGTGGTATTCTCCTAGATCCTTCTGGTCAAGGGAAGGGCAGGAGCGGGTGCATGCTACAAATCAATACCTGGCTGTGCAGGTGGTGGCGACAGCAGGGCTTTGGCTGCTTTGACCACAGGATGATGTTCCAAGAAGAAGGATTGCTAAGAAGAGATGGGATCCACCTAACCACCTGATAAAGAAAAGGAAGGGCATCTTTTCAGACAGGCTCACTAACCTAGTGAGGTGAGCTTTAAACTATGTTTGCTGGGGGATGGAGACCAAAGTTCTGAGGTAGGTGGGGAAGTCAGTGAACTGGAGGAAGGCCAAGCATGAGGGGGCAAAAGAGGAGGTTTTGTCTTTCTTCTTGAGAAATCAGGGCAGTCAACTAGTTACCTTAGGTGCCTGTACATGAATGCACAGATCCTGGGAAATGAGCAGGAAGAACTGGAAGTCCTTGCACAGTCACAGAACTATGATGTGATTAGAATAACAGTGACTTGGTGGGATAGCTCGCATGACTGGAGCACTGCCATGAATGGGTATCAACTGTTCAGGAAGGGCAGACAGGGGAGAGGAGGAGGAGGAGTTGCACTTCATGTAAAAGACCCATATGATTGCTCAGAGCTCAAGTATGAAACTATAGGTAGACCTGTTGAAGGTCTCTGGGTTAGGGTCAGAGGAGAGAGCAACAAGTGTGATGTTGTGGTGGGGGTCTGCTATAGACCACCAGACCAGGAGGAAGTGGTGGATGAGGCTTTTCTTCAAACAGGTAGCAAAAGTTTCCCCATCATAGGCCCTGATTTTCTTGGGGGACTTCAATCACCGTGACATCTGCCGGGAGGACAATACAGCAGTGCATAGGCAATGCAGGAAAATTCTGGAGAGTGTTGGGGACAACTTCCTGGTGCAAGTGCTAGAGCAGGCAACTAGGGGCCATGCTCTTTTTAACCTGCTCCTCAGAAACAGGGAAGGATTGGTGGGGAATGCAGTAGTAGAAGGCAACTTGGGCAGCAGTGGCCACAAGATGATTGAGTTCAGGATTCTGAGGAAAGTAAGGAAGGAGAGCAGCAGAGTAAAGACCCTGGAATTCAGAAAAGCAGACTTCGACTTACTCAGGGAACTCAAGGGCACAATCCCCTGGGAAGCCAGACTGAGGAGGAGAGGAATCCAGGAGAGCTGGATATATTTCAGAGAAGCCTTACTGAGTGTGGAGGAACAAACCATCCCAATGTGCAGGAAGACTAGTAAGTATGGCAGAAGACCAGCTTGGCTTAGCAGGGAACTCTGCAATAAACTAAGTCACAAAAAGGAAGCTTACAAGAAGTGGAAACTTGAACAAATAAATAGGGAAGAGCTAAGAGCATTGCTCAGGCATCCAGGGATGAAGTCAAGAAGGCCAAAGCACAACTGGAGTTGCTGCTAGCAAAGAACTTGAAGGGTAACAGGAAAGGTTTCTACAAATATGCCAGTAAGAACAGGAGGATTGGGGAAAGTGTGGCTTGCTTACTGAATGGGGGAGGCAACATAGTGACAGAAGATGCAGAAAAGACTGAAGTACTCATTGCCTTTTTCACCTATGTGTTCAAAGGCAAGGTCAGCTCCCAAACTACTGCACCTGGCAGCACAGTTTGGGGAAGATGTGAGCAGCCAACAGTGGTGAAAGAACAGGATAGGGACTGTTTAGAAAAACTGGACATATACAAGTCCATGTGGCCAGATGGGTTGAACCCAAGGGTCCTGGGGGAGATGGCTGCTGTGATTGCAGAGCCACTGGCCATCATCATCTTTGAAAACTCATGGCAATCAGGAAAGGTTCTGGATGATTGGAACGGGGCAAACATAGGGCCCATATTTAAGGAAGGGAAAAAGGAGGATCCAGGGAAGTACAGACCAGTCAGCCTCACCTTAGTCCCTGGAAAAAGGTCTAAGATGTAGTTGGCAGCTGGTATCAAGTAGAGTGCCACAGAGATCAGTCCTGGGGCTAGTTTTGTTCAATATCTTCATCAACAACCTGGAAGATGGCATAGAGTTCACCCTCAGCAAGTTTGCAGGTGACACCAAACTGGGGGGAGTAGTAGATGTGCTGGAGGGTAGAGCTAGGATTCAGAGAGACCTAGGCAAATTGGAAGATTAGGCTAAAAGGAGTCTCATGGGGTTCAACAAGGACAAGTGCGAAGTCTGGCACTTAGGATGGAAGAATCTCATGTACTGGTACAGGCTGGGGGCTGATTGTCTGGGCAACAGTTCTGTAGAAAAGGACCTAGTGGTTACAGTGGACAATAAGCTGAATATGAGCCACAGTGTGCCCTTGTTGCCAAATAGGCTAATGGCATACTGGCCTGCACTGGTAAGAGTGTTGCCAGCAGGTCAAAGGAAGTGATTTTTTCCTTCTATTCAGCAATGGTGAGGGTACATCTGGAGTAATGTGTTCAGTTTTGGCCCCCACTACTGAAAGGATGTGGACAAATTAGAGAGAATCCAGTGGAGGGCGATGAAAATTGTGAGGGAGCTGGGGGACATGACTTCTGAGGAGAGTCTGAGTGAACTTGGCTTATTTAGTTTAGGGTAGATCTCAGAGCCTTTTGTGGTAGATCTCGGAGCCTCTTGGAGTTGTGGGGGGGCTGAGTGCCATGTGAATGCACGCCCCAGCCCAGCAGATCCGTGTATGCGGGAGGAAAGGAGTGGGGGCTAGATCAAGGCCCCCACAATGAGGGACAGTGCCACAGAGGCAGGAGCCAGGGTAAGTTGAGTGGGGCTGGGGTCAGGTGGGACTTACCTACTGGGGAGGCATGCACTCAAATAATTTTTCTCCCTCTGCCTTGATCTGCCCCTCATTCCCCCCCCACAGACTTGCCTGCTGGGTTTGGGGGGCAGGGGAAGGGGATGGTGGCGGCGCACGGAAGATCTTAGGTTGCTTTTAAATGCCAAAGGTGATCTCCTACTTAAAAAGTTTGGAGACCACTGGTCTAGAGAAAAGAAGGCTGAGAGATTTAATAGCAGCCTTCAATTACCTGAAGGGAGGTTTGAAAAAGGATGGAGCCAGACTGTTCTCAGTGGTGGCAAATGACAGAACAAGGAGCAATGTTCTCAAGTTGCAGCAAGGGAAGTTTAGGTTAGATATTAGGAATAATTTTCTCACTAGGAAGATAGTAAAATACTGGAACAGATTACCTAGAGACGTGGTGGAAGCTCCCTCCTTGGTGGTTTTCAAGACCTGGCTAGACAAAGCTTTGGCTGGGATGATCTTGTTGGGGATGGTCCTGCTGTGAGCAGGGAGTTGGACTAAATTACCTCCTGAGTTCCCTTCCAACCCTAATTTTCTATGATTCTATCTCAAGGTGCCCAGTGAAGTCCAGAGAGAGCATATTCTGATTCTCCATTGTTTTGCATATTTTGTATGAAAACTTGTATACTTGTGTAAAATGTCTTAAACAGACCCAAATAGATTTAGTAGCCTTTAAACAGTTTGCAGCAACTACTCAAAGTGCAGTGTGGTGGAGCTCAAAATACTTTTACTGAATGGTTAGCTGTCAAAAGACCTAGGCTTGTTTCAGTAAATCACCATATTAATTCAACCTCAACCTTTCCAAACATAACAATTTTAATAATTTTGTTTTACAGATACAAGTACGTTTTTAATATATAATGAGGATCACAAGCGCTGTGTATTAGCTCAGAGTTCTAGCTCAGTGATAACCGCCCCTTGCAATCAGGAGAATGAGTCCCAAAAATTCAGGTGGGTTTCTGATTACCATCTTATGAGCATGACATTGAAATTATGCTTGGGCGTACCTTCAAAGAAAGACTGGGTTCGAATCACTCTGTATCCTTGTGACAAGACAAGTGAACTTCAGAAATGGGAATGCAGAAATGAGACACTTTTCGCAATCCAAGGAGAAGATTTATTTTTCAACTATGGCAACAAACAGGAAAAGAATATTATGCTTTACAAGGGATCAGGCCTGTGGAGTAGGTGGAAGATCTATGGAACCACAGATGATTTGTGTTCTCGGGGCTATGAAGGTAAAGTTCTTCACATATTCATTTCTTTTTATTTTGAACTAATTGCTTTGTGTACTTGAAGCATTTTGATATCTAGTAATGTCCTTAAATTTGTAGAAATTCAATGGGCAGAAGTCAGCAGGAATTTTGAGGGTGGATTTATTAAAGGATCAGTCCTTATTAATGAAATGAAATTGAAAATAATTAATTTGAAAAGGCAATTCTATTACGGAGGGTAAATTAATAATTATATAAATATAGTACCTAATGAATGTTACCGCTATTTGTGCTGTGTGGCTGCATGTATAGAAACACTGAGAATGCACACAATCTGTTATTTATGTCTGTCTTCTTTTGGAGCTAATCACATGTTTATATGTGATTATTATGTGTTCATTATGAAGATTATACAACTGCTAATCTATTGTTCTCCAGTACTTTGAACATTAATTTCTAACAGGGCTCAGAGATGACTGGCCATGTAAGAAAACAAACCAAATTTTAACTAGGTTAAATGAAGTTATATACCCTAAGTGTTTTTTTTAATGCATAAATTATTAGGAGGCAGTCTGTGATTAGAGGCACAGAGAGAGGGCATACATGAGAAGTTCTGTACAAGGACTGGTCATAGAAGTGGATCCTAGGTCAGGTCAGTAGAGGTGTAAAAGTCCCCTGCAAGCAAAATGCTTGAAACTAAGCAGGGCAGAAAAGGAATCCTAAGGGGACAGAAGTAAATGCACCATTATTGTACACTTACTCTTTGTATCATTGTGGAGTTCTGGGGAGAGAATTTTCTTGAGAGACAATTTCTTCCAGTATTTACACACTGTATATCCCACTACATTAATCTTTGTGTAAATTATTTCTTTTTTAATAAGCCCAATCTTGAATTGCTGATTAGACAAAAATCTAAAAAAAACAGCATTTAGATCACTATTTTGTGAATATCCTTCCAGTTTACAGTTGCACACCTCTTTTCTACCTAATATTGTCAGTAATTGATTGGATCAGTAGAAAGAAAACAAAACATTTATGTTGTGTTATGGAAGTACAATGATCACTGATATTTCTAACTATTGATAATGTGCAAGCCCTATGAAGTATTTGCTTTTATTTTTCATGCTAAGATATGATGCTGTGTCTTCCATATTATGATAAGGATAGTAGACAATATACATAACTATAATGTCTCATTCTGCATGATTGTATCTCCTTAGATCTCTTTTCACTACTGGGCAATGCCAATGGAGCACCCTGTGTATTCCCTTTCAAGTTCGATAGCCAATGGTACGCTGAGTGTACAGATGATGGAAGATCAGATGGCTGGCTCTGGTGTGGAACAACGTCAGACTTTGATGTAGACAAGATGTATGGATTTTGTCCACTGAAATGTAAGTTTTTTACTTTGTCAATGAAGCATATTATTTAGCAGATTATGGATGAGGAAATGTTACATAATCTTATTACTTACTGCACAAGGAAAAAATGGAATGCCTTTACATTGATGTAGAAATAATAATATATTTTAAAAATCAGAAAACCATACTTGTATGTATTTGAACAGTTGTGCTTTACAAACGGCAAACAACAGTTTCTTCAAACTTAAAATCAGAATAAATATTTTATCTCTAAAGCTAATTAGTAGCTGCTTTTAGAAACGTTGAAAACAGGAACTTACAAGAAAGTGTCATTTTAGCTTTAATTATGATTTTAAATAGTTAATATGCAAGTGAACTTTCAAAAATAATTCAGAATTGCAAAGCTAGATTTCAGCACTGGATCACCATGATCAAAGAATAGTAAATGAAATATCATTCTTACATAAGTAAGAATCAACTGAGCAGAAAATTGAGTATGAAACCACATCAAATAAAATTTGATTATTAAGTTAAAGGGCAGTACCTTTTCCCCTTTTATAGCCCATTGACTTGTAAGCCAACTTATGATGCAAAAATATATTACTTTTTGAGATTCCTTTTCCTTTAAAAGTCTACTTTTCAAATAACTATTGATCCATTATTAATCATAATAAAATAGTCTTACCTAATGTAGTCTTACCCTTTGAATCACCTGTTGGCTTTCTGTAGCATCCTAGGATGCTTTGCTTCTGCTCCTTCCTTTAGAAGACAATGTTACTTGCTGGACTCTGCTACTCCAGCTAAGTAGGGAGCAGTACACACCTCCTTCACAATCCCTCCCTTTTTATTGTAAATTTCTGCCTCTTGTGTAAAAGTCCTGTAGAAATTAATAAAAAAATGATCACTTTCCTAAGAGCTTTTTAAAGCATTGCCAAAACTTAATACTCAGATACTAATCATCCATCATAACTTGTAGCAAATTGTAGATAACTGTACTCCAGAAATCTATGAATCATAATTTCCATTCCACCCTGTTATGGCTCAATAAAACTCTAATGGTTTCACTGTATTTATTTCTAAGAGCTTTCCCAGAAGGTCCAAACTCTTTGGAATGGTTTATAACCATGTGAGAGATTTGAGGGATTAGCCACAGGTTAAATGCCACTCCCTTCGTGCTTTGGCCTTCCTGATGTCAGCCCTGCATGCCCAAGCAATATTTTTATACTCCTCCCTAGGTGTTGTCCAAGATTCCACTTCCTGTAAGCTTCCTTTTAATATTTTACCTCACTGAAGAGTTTCCTGCTAAGCCAAGTTGGTCTTCTGCCATACTTGCTAGTCTTTCTGCAATCTTTTTTAGATTGCTTACTGGAAGTTTATTCACGATTCAGTACTCATGCTGTGTAATAGGTCTCCTAAGCCCCTTGGTATTGTGTCTCTTTCTTCATTTAATTAGTCTAATATTTATAAACAGGCATAGGACTCCACAAGTGTATCTAGGACTGAATTCCTTGGGGAGTGGAAGGAAAGTAGCTGTTTCAGGGAAGAAAGGTAGAAGGTGAGCTGGAAAAGGAAGTTTTAGGACACTTTAGACCAGTGATTCCCATATGTTTTCAATTTACAGATCAATAATTTTCTGCAACCCTATATCTGTGTGCCTATAGTTTGCTGGGTGTGAGGAGCTTATAAAGCTGCTGCTTCTCCATGGTAACTGTTCCAATGTCCTGCTCTTACCCTATGGAGGGATGAATGAAACTGGACTGAATTGCCTGGTTTAACTTTCACTTACTGCAGAGCAATTGTAGGCACACGGGCAGCTGAGATACTAAGTCCCCTCTTAATTATGGGCATAGAGGGCTTTTCTGAGTTCAGGGGAATTAGTCTAGTGGGACTTGTGACTCTACTTGTGACTGCCACGATCCCATTTGCAGTTGTGAATGTTAGTTTGGGTCCCCTGGTAGAAAGGAGACAGCATTTTGTTATGTGTCTGGAACCTGTGCATTAAAAATAGCTTATTTCCTTCAGAGTGTGGGAGCTAGATAGATGTAAACCAGATTTGTAAATCTGACAGTATTTTATATTCAGTCACAATCTACTGAAGTTCTACCTTGGGGGTCTCCATTAAGCATACTAACAAGTGACAGCTATAGGGGTAGTTTGCAGAACAGTAATATTTCTACACTGGAAACTAGACTGAGGCAATTTATTTCCTCACACAGGTCTAGGAATAGCCACTACATTTTTTACTTCTACAGCCATAATGGGGATGGCAGTGACAGAGTGGTTAAGGTGTCTCTTTGAAAGTCCAGATGTAAGCATATGAACTTTCTGCCAAAAATCACCCCCAGGTTAATCAGACTGGAGAGTCAAAGACATTAGATAGGATATTAGATGCATTGTTTTAGAAATTAAATTTTCCATTTCATTGCAGTTGCCAGTCTTGTGCCCCCTCTAAATTGGTGCCATAGGCTGGTGCCTTATTCACCCACCCCTAGTTACATACTAGTACCTCTAAACATAAATTTAAGTTTTTTGAGTATCAAATAGATTTACTTTCCTATCTACCTATAATAATTTTATTGCAGAAAAATGGCTGCTAATGAAGCAGAATTATAAGAGTTTTAGTCTGCCTGAACAGGTCAGGATGTATTTTCTTTAGAGCAAAAATTTCAAATACAATCAATTATCTCCATTTTACTGCATGCCTAACCTTTTACAAAGTGTTTTTATATAGAAGACAATATACCAAATAAATTACATCTTCCTGTATTCGTAATATGCTTGGCAATGGACATGGTATTTTGCTTCAATAATTCTTCCAGCTTAACATATATTACATCAGACTTTCATTCCTGTTGTGCAAGGGTAATCAGTAAAGAACATTTCATATTGTCTGTAGGCTATCAGGTCCAATACAGGAAAAGGTGGAACTGGTTACTGACCTACTGACACTTAATATATACTATCTTTTGTTTTGAGTATTGTTTATTGTAATGCTTTCCTCTTATTTAAACACTGCAGTTTTGTGAGGTCTCTGAGAATAGGAAATGGAAAAGTCCCCCTTCTGTCAAAAATTTGCATAGTTTGCATCTCAAAACCCTCTAATTTAGGCTGAAGAAATTTCAGCTTCTTTCCTATGGCCAAAGAACAAAGACTGACCTCTAACTTATATTGATTTTTGTCATACGAGTTTCATGTCTTTATAATGCCATAATTAGCATGAGATTTTTACCATAGGGTATGGCTAGTTTTTTTTTTTTTATGATCAGTTCACTTTAAGAAAAGTTGAACCAACTCCATTAATATTATATCAAATTTCTTCTTACAGTTAGTGGCAGTGATACATTGTGGAATATGGATCCTTTGACAGGAGCCCATTACCAGATAAACTCCCAGTCAGCACTAACATGGCACCAGGCAAGAAAAAGCTGTCATCAGCAGAATGCAGAATTATTAAGTATCACAGAGTTGCATGAACAAACGTACCTGGCAGGTAAAGTAATGAAATGTATTCTATATATTGTTATGTACCTCATTAGAGTGATAACATTTGAATAGGATACTACATCTTTAACTACTTTACACGGTTTAATTTAATCCTCACAATAACTTGATTCAGTTATTGTGAACATATTTTGAATGTATTACTCTAGTTTGGGGGTGGAAAATTATTTGGGATGGAGGGCTGCTTACGGAGTTTTGGTGAGCTGTTACAGGCACTTGGGGGGGTGGGGGTGCTGACCTGGCCTGATATGGTGGGAGAGGTTGGGGTGCGATTGGTTCTATCTGGCCTCAGGCCATCCACCTCACGCCCGCTGCTGGGGGTACTGGATAGCGTGGGCAGGATCTCCAAGAGGCTGTCCTGGGATCCTGGTGGGCAAGGCATGCTTGACTAAGCAGATGAGATGGGGTTGTGGATGGGCAGGGAGCAAGGTCTGGGAGCAGGGTGGGCAGGTGCAGCCAGGATTGTGGGGCAGTGACAGTAAAGGCTTGAGGCCTGGGGGAGAACTGCAATCTGCTCCCCATATGTTCCTGTAATGGATGCTGGTTCTGCAGGCAGGGGCGTATGGGGAGCAGATTGTGGCCTTGCCCCTAGCCACAGCCTTGCGCTGTCACCACCCCATGATCCTGGCCCCAGCCCTCTCCTACTTGTCCTATTCCTGGATGCTGTTCCCCACCCACCTGCCTGTGGCCCCATTTCATCTGCCCAGATAAGCACACCCTGCCTGCATGGGTCCCAGGCCAATCTCCATGGAGATGGTGGTGGGTACAGGGGTTGACAGGGTGGGGTGCCTGGGCAGCAGGGCCAGGTCCAGCAGTGGCAGCAGAGAAACTGGCAGCAGCAACTGGGCAGATTGAGCCACTGATGTGGGGGCTGCCGGAGAGCTGAGTCCAGCCACTGTTGCCCTGGTTCCACTGCACACCTGATTTTGTCCACCCCCGCTCTAGTTGGATGACAGAATTTCCTGTGCAGTAAATCTTGCTTTAGCATGTGGTACTGTGCAGTATGTCTGATTTTAGTAAAATATTAATACACATTTGTTTATTAAGTGTATTTAATAGTCTGTATAGTCTGCTTTACATTAACTATTATTTTCATATTAAAAATCCCAGCAAACTATTTAACTGAAGGTCTGAATGTAATGTGAAATTATCATTATAATTAAAGCTCAGAAGAGCAGTCTAGGAATGTAGTTAGGAATAGTATAAGAAAACTGAGAAGCATACTTCTTATTTGAACACCAAGATACTTTGCTGCTAATCGTGGTCCAACTGCATATGAAAAACAACTTTTCTTTACCCAGAAATCCCAGTTTAGGCAAAGCTCTCCCAGGTTTCCTGTGTTGTTACATTCTTGACTCATTTAACATTGCCAAATTTCACCCCTATGCTTGTAAATTCAAACACTGTTTTTCAAGACTAGGATTTGAATAATCTTGTATCATACTCTATCAAATGTTTACATTTTGGAAATATTATCATCAAAGGTAAACTGGGGGAGTAAGGTGGTATATGGGCCAGGTGGGGGCAACATGGGGCCTCCAAAGCCTGATCTGGCTTGGCGTAGGTAGTGTAGGGCCCTGGGGCCTGACACTTGCAGATGGGGGCTGGGCAGAGACAGCACGGGGTCTGGGGGGACTGATTCTGGTGACTGGGGGGGTGGTTTGGGTCCCAATCCAGCCAGTGAACTGGCCTTGCCCCATTCATCTGGCCTGTGAGTACCACTGCATTAATACAACTGAAATAAATGATGTATACTAGTACAATGATTTGTTTCTGGTGTGTTAATATTTGATAAATAATATTCAGGTAACTCATCTTCCAAAGTCTTAAAGGGAAGCAGGAGGTAATTTTCTGAGTAATAACCTGTCCCAATATATGTGAATAGTTCTAGTGAATTTAATAGGGTTCTATGTAAATTTGCTTATAACTGTTTTTGGACCCATAATTCAACAGTTGGTTTTAGTAAAGACTTTTTCAGTAGCAGGAATATGGGTGAAGAATTAAAAGTAGCTGAAACAGAGGAAAGTACCAGAGAGGATAAAAATAAGAAAAATAAGACAAAACAGGATGGAACTATTTACAATGGCGCTTGATAGACTACGAAGACTGGTTGTACATATTAAGACCATTTTAAAATAGTAAAACTTTAATTTAAATATTTAGTTTGTTACTAAATTCAGTGAAATTCCAAGAGCAATAAGTTAATTCTTTCAGTTGGAACCTTAACTTTTACTTTTCTAATGTTTTATTAACATAGATCTTGCATTATAATTTTAAGAATACAGTAGCTATTTTCATATTCATGAGCATAGTTTTATAGGATATCCACTTAACTTTCATTCAGTTTACAGGCATTATTGATTCTTGCGAAATTACCTACAATTAAAATGAGGAACACTGGTATAATCATTAATGCCTCTAAAACCAAGATGAACATTTAAACACCCCCACTACTTATGCTTACCTTTCCTTTAGTACTAAATAATTTGAAATGAAATATACCTGATCTATATTATTCTGAATAATTTGGTTTTGTGCAGGATGTGAAATGAGAACAGGAAATAGATGGAGTTCAGTCTTTAAAGTCCAGATAATATGAGCTGCAAGAAATCCTCTTTATAGTTATTATTACTCCACAGGCTGGAATAGGATTTACTATTGCTTTGCACCACTAACAGTAACATGTTATGCTATTATTTTTTCCTTTGTTATTTAGGATTAACTGGAAGATTGAGTGCTGCGCTCTGGTTTGGTCTTAATAGTCTGAATTTCAACAGTGGATGGCAATGGAGTGGGGGCAGTCCTTTCAGATACTTAAACTGGGTCCCAGGTAGGTATAAATCAGGAGTGGGCAATTATTTGTGTTGGAGGGCCAGTTACAGAGTTTTGGTGAGCTATTGAGGGCTGGGGGCAGGGAGTGCTTATGACCCAAACTTGGCTCCCTATCACAGCTGTTTACCCAACCTGGCGGAGGCAGGGGGAGAATCAAGGAGATGGTAGTTGATCCTATCTGGCCCTGGGCCTGTCTGCTCTGCACCCACCACCAGGGGTGTGGGATGGAGCAAGCAGGCGGGGTTTCTATGGAGATCAGCTCAGGTCCCCCATGGGCAGGGCATGCTCAGCCAGGTGGATGGTGTGGGGATGCAGGTGGGCAGGGAGCAGCATCTGGGAACGAGATGGGTGGGTGAGGTCAAGGCAGAGGCTGGGCTGGGATCATGAGGTGGTGATAATGCAGGGCTGGGGCCTGGAACAGAGCCGCGATCTGCTCTCCGCATGTCCTTGTGATGGGAGCCAGGTTGGAACTGGCACCTGTCATCAGGATCTGCAGGGAGTGGATTATGGCTCTGCTGCAGGTCTGGGCCTGGGCCCCACGCTGTTAGCATCCAGTGATCCCAGCACCACCCACCCATTCTGCTCCCAGACACCTCTTCTCAGCCGGCCCTGGCCCCATTCCATCTGCCTGGCCAAGTGTGCCCTGCCCATGGGGTTTCTGGGCCAGTCTTCATGGAGACCCCACCTGCCTGCTCTCTCTGGTGCCCTTGGTGGTGGGTGTGGGGCGCCTGGGCAGCAGGGCTGGATCTGGCAGTGGCAGCAGCAATATTGGTAGTAGCTGCTGGGAGAAGCCACTGCTGCCACAGAGGCTGTTGGGAAGTCAAATCCAACCACCATACCACCCCTGCCCCTACCCTTGTCCTGCTGCTGTGCTGCCCTGCCTCACGGATTACAGCTAGCTGCTGGTGTGCCTGAGAGCCACACGGGGGGTTAGGACAGGCTGTGCTGTGCGCCAGGTGGCACCTCTGCACCTGGGAGCAGAGAGACCGGCCACATGCACTGCAGCCTGGGCTGCCTCCCACACCTGTGCTGGGTGGATCCTAGGGACCTGCCATGGGCTGGACAGAATCATGTGGTGGACTGGATCTGGCCTGTGGGCTGTATTTTGTCCACCGCAGGTATAAATGGTAATCCATCTTAGGCAGAATTTTGCTTATAAATCCTCATAGTGGATTTCAGTCTTGGTATTGTGCTCTCTTACCTGCACAGAACTTCTATAATTGTTAAAAGAAACTGACTATGATCATAACTACTGGCAATGAGATCTGCTGCATCAAGAACAGAATACTGGATTCAGTTTATAACACAGAATAGATATTATTCAGGAGAACCTGAGAAAATATTTAAAAAGCATAGATTTTTTTCTGTTGTATTCATGCAGAAGATAGGTCAGGGTGGTACCTTGTGTTCATGTATCTTCTAAATTTCCCCAAATCTTATTTCTTGTTAATGTCAGGGTGAGATTGTAGCTGTGATGGTCCACGAATTATATGAGAAGCAAGGATTTTTGGGGGATGATGACTTTTATTAGAATAACTTAATGGTTAGGATAAAGTTAGGCAAGCTTTCTCCTGCACATATAGTATATTTGTTCAAAGAATTAAATGAAAAATGCAATAGTCTAACCACATTATAGTGGATCTAGAAAGAAACCCTCTAACTTATTTTAGTGATTTCACCTAATATTTTGCTCCTGGTCTAATATCGTTTGTATTTTTCCTGCTGAAAATTCCTTGCTAGTTCTAGCATCAAATACTCTAGCACAAATCTTGTTTTCATTCTTTGGGCTAATTAATAGGAAATTTGAAATTATTCTCAGTTCTTGCAGCTCAGTAAAGGTTGTTCAAATGACAGCAGGTAATTGAAATGATAATCAAGTATTAGTTCTGGCCAGATCCCTGAACCCATACTTTTCTGAATCATGTGCCCCAGACTCCATGTGATCTCATTTTAGGAGGCATGGGGGTGTGTGTGTGTGTGTGTGTGTGTGTGTGTGT